GTGAGGAATGTCCACCTGCCCGTGCAGGGCCACTGGGCGCTGCCCTTCCTGCACCACCCAAGCCTCTGGGCACAGGCTTCTCCATGAGCACCTCCCCCGGAAGCCAAGGTCTGGTCCCAGGCTCAGTGACTCTCCAGGTCTGTCCCAGAGTAGACCTCACTGTAGTTCCTTCCGGGGCGGAGTCTTCCCTCAGGCTGCTGGAGGGGAGGGACGGTGGGTATGGAGAATCTGCTCAGGCCTGACCAGGAGCCCTGGGCGGCCGGGTAGCTGGCTCAGTCCTGCCCAACTCCCCGCCCACCGCAGCCAAGGGAGGTCTCCCCGGAGCGCACGGCCAGCCCAGCCTCTGCACACCGCCTCTCCGGTGGTCATCCCCAAGACGTGTCCCCTGCATAGGCTGCTCCCTGTGGGGATGCCCACTCCCACATCTGTGGCCCCGACCTCCACCCTCACCCTCACCCTCCACCGTGGCCTGGCCTCCTCCTCGCTGCATCCCAGGGCTGGCAGCTGGAGCCAAGCCTCCTCCTGGTCCTCAGCTCCTTGGGTGTCTCCAGCTGTGAATGCGGGCCCTGTGCTGCCTGCCAGGAGTCCTTTGGGCCCCGCCTCAAGCTCCACCCCTGGTCCCCCTCAGCCATGGCACAGCCAGGAAGGAAAGGAGCCCTGCTACTCCAGGAAGCCAGGGAAGGCCCCTGTCTCCCGAGCTGGGGGCTGGGCAGGGCCGCGGCCCTCTGCCGTTCCCAACGACAGGCCTTGGCAGTGCCAGGCGGGGCAGGAGCTAAAAATAAACCAGCCGGGCCAGAGGCTGGCTGGAGCCTCGGCAGGGGTGGAGGCAGGAAGGGAGAGAGGCCCCGGTGACAGCGACAGACACTGTCTCAGCCCTACAGGAGGGGCTGCTGGCCGGCCCGGCCCGGAGGAGTGGGTGAGGAACGGGAAGTCGGCTTGGGAGCAGACTAGTGGGCAGCCGTGGCCCCTCCTCTGGCTGGGCATTGGTGGAGTCCGGAAGCTTCCTCCAGTTCCTGGGACAGAAAATGGCTAATCCTTCTGAGCAGAGGAGGGCCCTGGTCAGCCAGCGATGGCCTCACCTGCCCCTCCCCTCCCCTCAGTTCACGTCTCTCCATCTCTGCTGGGGTGGGGAGCCGCAGGCGTGGCTCTCCCCACAGTGCTGGGTGGGGGCTGCACCAACGCCGTGCAGCTGCCGGCGCCCGGCCAAGCCTGCGGCCTGGGAGCCTCCGGGACACGGAAGCCAGGCCGCGGGCAGGGCTGAGCTGGGCAGTGTTTGCTGGGTGCCACAAGGCTGGGTCTGAGAGAAAATACCCACAAGTGCTGAAGAACTCCCGGGGGAGAGCTAGCAGAGGCCCCCCGCGGTGGGGCTCTTACAGATAACCTCCATCCTTCCCTTCACTGATTTTCTGTTACCAGTGGGCACTTTAATATCAGCGAGAAAGAGCCTCAGACAGGAGAGGCCTTGTAATGAGGCTTCTGGAAGTGTCTGGGGCTTTGGGGCCTTATACCTGGAGGACAGAGACCAGGAGAGAGCCAGGGGCTGTAACTGAGCAAGTCCACTGTGTGGCCAGGGGCCTGGCTCTGCTCCCTGCTCTCCCTCCTGTGGGACACACAGAGCAGGTCGAGACCTGGAGGGGCTGCATAGAGACCAGCGCGGCCTCTGTGCCGGGGAAGGAGCTGCGGGGCTCAGAGGTGTGGGTGCAGAGCAGGGCCAGTCAGGAGGGGAGGCAGAGCCAGAAGTCCTGTGGCACAGGCTCCCGTCCAGGCCCACATTGCCTGCAGTGCCTACCAGATGTGGAGGCCGAGACCCCCGGCCCTGGGTCTAGCAGAGCAGTGATAGCGCCTGGGCTGTGGCTGGATGGAGGTGCAGGGGCGTGGGGGGCTGGAGGAGCGGAGGGCGGCTCAGGCGGGGGAGGAGGGTGAAGGGCAGACACAAACCAAGCTCTTACCCTGGCATGGCCTTTCCTCTACACCCTCCCCTTCTAGCTTGCTCCATGTCAGAGCAGCGGCAGCTGGCCTTGGGCTCATGACTGATGGCCAGCATGGGGGGTGTGGGGAGCAAGGGAGCCGCTAGGGACCTGAATGGAGCAGCTGCTGAGCAGAGCTAGGTCACTCTGCCCAGATCAAAGACCTGGGGGACAGGCAGGGAGGGTCACACTGCCACATGAGGGGGGGATGGGAAGGGCAGACCCGGTCCTCCACTGTAGGGCTACTGAACCCCATTCTGACCCCCCGGGTCCTTTGGAGGTAAAAGGGCCAGAGCCTTCTCTACAGGGTCGAGGGTGCTGTCCAGCCTGGCTCTGTTCTGATGAGCTTATGCCACCTGGATCCTTGCAGGAAGGGCCCTACTGGAAGACTGCTGCCGTCTGAGCCGTCTGGCACCAGCCCTGCCTCCCATTCCTGGGCCTGGTGCGGGCCTGCCTCCCATTCCTGGGCCTGGTGCGGGCCTGCCTCCCATTCCTGGGCCTGGTGCGGGCCTGC